CATGAGAGTTGGACATGAGAAGTGCTGCGCTGCCGAATAAAAAGCAAGGGACAAGATGTTAACGTGATCCTAATATACCGAAGCCATGAATGTGAGGTAGCGGATTTCCTCCTGAATAAGCTGATCCTCTGGGCAGGTGAATGCCGATGTCTAGCCGTAGGAGACTTCAACGCACCATCAGTCAGCTGGGATAGACTAACAGCAAGAGCACCGCGCAAATTGTTTGACAGCAGGCTAGTGGAAACATCAATCTCCCTAGCCCTCATACAACACATTAGGACACCAACCAGATATGATCATCAGCGAGCTCCATCAGTTCTAGACTTAGTATTCCCATACACAGGTGATATGTACTTCATACGCACCTAGAACCTCTAGGCAAAGGTGATCGTGCTGCGATCACCTTCAAACTCACAGCAGACGTCTTGTACTAAGCCGATACTCCCGTTGGACCCGACGTATAGAAGGCGGACTTGAAAGCCATTAACCTGGCAGCCTCTTCGAAGGACTGGACAGTCAGTCCAGAAGTCTTAGTTGAAGGTATGTGGTGCTCCTTCAAACAGTTATATGCACAACCGACCCAACCGTTCATTCCGTGGATCGTCCCGAGGGGATGGAAACACTGTCCTCCGTGGATAAACCCCGAAATCCGAATCTTGCTACGACGTAAGAAAAGTGTTAGAGTCTTGTCACCCACCTCGGTGGGCCGAAGTGGTGAGGCATTACAAAGAAGCCCGAAATAAATGTATCGCTGCCATCCGCCAGTCCCTAATATGCCTTGGAGGACGTCCTGCTCAGGCTGCATTGCAACATCCTAAGAGGTTATTTTCCTGCATGGACTATAGAAATAAGGCGTGTCACGGTATACTAGCCCTAACCAATGGGACAGGAAATGCCTATCTGGTTGAAGACGGCGGGGGGAAAGCAGAAGCCATGGCTGGATATTTTGCTGAGGTCTTCACACAAGAAACTTCTGTGGACGCTTATCCAGCGGTAGAAGCATTGACATCCAACGAAACAAACTCTGTGGATATCGATCGCAATGACGCATTTCGGATATTAGGTAATCTCAACGCGGAAAAATCAACGGGACCGGACGACCTGCACCCAAGGCTGCTCGACCAGCTTGCACTCTGAGTGAAGGCACACTGGAAGGATGCCATAGCGACACCTATCCACAAGGCAGGTTCTAGGCAGCTCCCATCAAATTACAGACGAACAAGTTTGACTAGCACTGTAGTGAAAACTCTAGAAAGAGTAATCAGACAGGCCATCACGGTCCCCGTGGAGAGCAATACCCCACTGTCTCGTTCACAGCACTGTCTCCTTAGAAATTTCCCTTACTTGACGAACCTTCTTACAGTCATAGAAAGTTTAATTAAGTCTAAAGATGATGAGATACCTGTAGAGGTCATTTACACTGACCCCATTCCAGGTCGCTTGGGAAACTGGAAAGTTTTGCAATTGCTGGCAGTCTTCCCGCATGGGTAAGAGACTTTCTTGTTGGTAGGAGACAAAGAGTCAGGAATAATTCTAAAATCTCCACTCGGAAGTCGGCAGAGGGTGGAGTACCACAAGGCATAGTCCTGGGCTCCCTGCTGTTTCCCCTATACCTAAATGAGCTGCCGGATGTCACGAAGTCCCCTATGGTCCTCTGCGGTGACGTAAAAATATGGCAGATTATTAGGAACGGTGAGGATACACGTGCGCTTCAGGCAGACCTGAACGGCTTGTTTACCTGGTCAGAGGAGTGGCTGGTGCCTATCAATGCATGTAAATTTGTGAGCATGCACTTAGGGCACACATACAGCAACACCTACTATATCGGTAGGACTCCTCGCCATCAGTACTGACACACAATGGCCAAGGAGTCACAGTGAGTTATGATTTGAAAACCCCGGCTCACTGTCGATTGGTATCGGTTGGAACTTTCAGGAATCTCTGGACATTACGTAGAACGTTTACGAAAACAAGTGGCGACATGTACATCATCTTATACACATTCTTAGTTAGGTCTAAATTAGAAAACTGTACCTAGGCGGCTAATCCTCGTCAGAAAGGCGACGTAGATCCTCTGGAACGGGTTCAGAGGGCGACCGCTCGTATGATCCCTGCAGTGGCTGACCTCATCCATGAAGACTGGCTTAAGGAGTTGAACCTCTTCACTTTGTCCTATCGCAGCCGGAGGAGAGACCCACTCGTCCTATACAGGATTCTAAGAGACGACTTCGAACCTGATCTGTTTCCTCTTTTCCTTCCCACTAGGCCGCAGCGCCTCTGAGGACATAGCAGGAGACTACAAAAGCAAAGAAGGAACACAGTCTCCTCAGAGTACTGGTTCTCGCACCGAGTAACCAACGCCTGGAACCGACTCTTAGAAGTTGTGTCCGCATCATCAACCGGCTGGTTCAAGAGGGGATTGGACAAGCACAAAAACCTATTGGGAAAGGACCAGTATAGGCTCCTATCCCCCTGTCCTCAAACGACAAATATGAGCCTGAACCTAGAGATGCAAAATCACCGGGAACTAGACGATTCATCCCAGACTACCCACGTAGCTCCGATTAGGATGGCAGCAAGAAGTGTTGGTACAAAATGCCATTTGCATCCAAACATGCAAGTCTTTTCAGTTCTGACAGCCACTCACCTGAAAACAAAGCTAACCGAGAGTGACCTCACATGACGCGCCGATTTTGAAGCCTTATTCAATGGTTTGATGGTGAAACCTCTCATGTTCTGCACCGTAATATGGCAACAGCAGCTGGATAGGAATGCATCCCTGGCTTCATTTATTCAAATGACTCTGTTTGCAACGCTATAGACCTCAACAGTTGCTACACTCTGCATGACACCATACAATACCAGGCCCACATTTGCCCCCGCCGTCCATTCCAGCTTCGTTCGCCATCTGTATGCGGTACAAACTTACTGAATACAGACACATCTCTGGATTCGTTTGTTCTCAACATCGACATGCAATATACTCTTGTAGATTTCATGACTCACGATTGCTTCTCTACTGAATGATTATATTCTCATAAGTTTTCACCACTGTTGTTTAACGATATCGCTCGTATCCTATAGTTGTGACAAGCAATATCTAAAAGATTGTGTGCTCCGGAAGACTTTGTATGGCACAGTGATATGTTTCTTTCTAAACTTTTAAAACTTGAACGAGGAAATAACATTTAGATTTGCCTGCAAAATGACATATGTTGGTATAATTCATTATTCGAAATATATTATTAGTGTTTTTAAAAATGACATGAAAACGTAGCCAAATAAAGCTAAGGGGGGCCACTTGCTTTGTTCGTGAGAATTTTTTGGAATTTTTTTACTTTGCTGTCATCATGTGGTTTTCGGACTTTACCTGACACACGTGGTCTACGTATCAGGGTGTTGTGATGTTGCAAAGGCTACATCTACTAACTGAAACTCTGCTTGTTTGCGGCTTCGGGATGCGCATTAAGTTTGATTATTCGAGCATGTCAGAGAGGAAGTCAGGCGTGTGTTTCTGTAAACACAGAGGCCAGCTATAAGTCGAGCTTGTTACAACGAACCTAAAACTTTGTGCATATATGGTCTGTGCAAACCTTTCGTCCTACTGACTGCATGTTAGTGATCGTCGCTGATCCAGTAAGTTTTTTCATACTACGTTGTAGAAAGGGCGTCCAACGATGAGGTGAAAAAATGAAAATGTTAAGGGACTGGGTAAAGGACATCCCTTTTGAGGGCACCTCAGATGTATGAGATATTTTTTGCCGAAATACATGTTTACACACAAACGAAGGTGGCTTTTTCCTACTAATCCTCATGAATCATGCTAGGAGGAGGGGAGTTCGCAGAGAACTCCTTCATCAGGTGAATAACTGTGAAGAGATGTGTGTGAAAGAATAGCCTTTTTGATGGTCAACACATCCCTGAAAATGTTGAAGAGTTTGGAAAACGTGTGAACTCATAGACTTCTCCCCTACGGAATGCGGAACTACAGATGGTAAACTGATAGTCCGTAACCTTTGAGTCTATGGGATTCATTCTACCGCGTGTACCTGAATGATAATCGGCCTATCATGGAGGCGGTAGTTTTCAGAATCATGGAGTAATATGCATGAGCTTTTATCGACCCATGAGTACACTCAAAAAGCCAGTATAAAGAATTGAAGAGTGCTTTAATAGGAACAGTGGCATTATAATTTACATGATAGAGTTTACCATGCCAGTAGTCATGCATTTGTGACAACTAAGTAAGCAGTTTGGCGGTCGTCCACCTTAAGAAAAAAAAGGTGCGGACATGTTAAATATTGCATGAAAAATACTCTGGAAATTCAGTTCCACAAAGGAACAAAGACTTACATCGTTTTACCTTTTGTGATCACCCTTTGTATATGCAGTCAGGTATATGTGCATAGTCCACCAAGGCATCCAAGTGTAAGGAATAAGGGGAATTGAAACAGTTTTATCCGTCTGTGACGGTTTTCATATGTACTTGAAACGGTGGTGGTGGAAATCCGGAAGTGAAAGACAGTAAATGTGAGCATGTATCAGTGAGCAGCCCGCGTTTTGTCATTGCATGGCTGTCTGCCGGCTGCGTTTATGTTCTCATCTGCTAAATCAAGGCAGATTTGAAGAAGCATAATGTCCTAGTGGAGTTCCGCAGGATCAGTATTAAATCTTCTGCTGATTCTAATATACACAAACGATTTGCCTCAACAGGTTACTGCTAAAATGCTTTTTTTTGACCATGATGTGAAGCTGTAAAGAGAAGTCAGAATTCAGGAGGAAAGTGTTCTTCCACAGGAAGACGTAACCTAACTACAACACTGGGTGATTTCTTTACTTGTATACGGGCTAACAACTACAGGAACTAGCGGTTAATAGTTTCTAGAGGCAGAAAGCAGCTAAGCGAAAACTTCTTGCATTAGATCACTAACCACTTGAATCATTAGATTGGACTGTCTCGTTAAAACAGATTGGATATTGGAACCACTTAAGAATTGAAAATGCTGGCGCTCTTTCCGAGACATTTTATACCCAAGGTAAGTCGTGGTATCACATGAGGTTGTACGACTTTTCCACTTGTTATTCTGGTATTTTTCTTATTACAACGTAGCGTTGCGAGCAATGCAATATTCTGCACTCCAGCCAGCCATTTTCCGAAGCCCAGTTACTGACTATAGAGACAGTGCTATCATAATGACAGGACCATTATGAGTGGAAATCTTGACTGATTGTTAACCCTACGTCGTTTAGAAGTTAGTCGATATTAGGATCATCATTTTCTAATCGATCGGTAATTACTCTTGGAAAGGGAGTCTTTTCGAATTCGATGTGTTTCATAACTCAAAAAGCCGTACGAAGAGAGTGTAGTATGAAACCATATGTTGACTTAATTTGCCACATTTCTAAATAAGTTCCATATCTATCAGAGTTCTGAAGGAGCACGAAAATACAGGCTATTTATATCACCTTTGAAGTCTTTGAACTTTAGGTACCTGATCTCCAGACTAACAATGCGTTTATGTTTGTTTCACTGTTCCCGGGTTGGCTTGTAAGCTACTCAACCTGCGGAGAAATAAAAGCTTAATTCAAAACCGACAAATTAGCAGCAGGTTTCGATAGTACTCTAAAGTTACTTATCGGACACAAGGTTCTACTCAAGAAGTATTCGAAATAACTAATATATGCACCTAAATGGTTTGACGACAGGATTCTTTGCAAAAATAGTGGAAAAAGAGTTGTTAGCAGGATGGTTAGACCAAGATGTGACACAAGTCCATGAAGTATGAATATTAGTCTGAGCCATGTGATTGACAAAATCAACGTAAAATTACTCAGGTACATTGGTTTAAGTTGCCACACTTCACAGTAGAACCCAAAGAACAGGTGGATAGAAAATGACTGATATCAAAGTAAACTAAGTTGTTTGAGAGAATAAGAAAGCTGAAGTTAACGATCAGTGCAAATATTCAGCTTTTAGAAGATATCAAGGAGTGTATACCCCTCTGCCATTGTGATCGACTTTCAGCTATGTCACCAAAGCCCTCTACTACTCATTTATATCGTCTCAGGAACCCAAACCACCTAGTTTACATGTCACACGACTGAGATCAAAAGTCAGAGACTTCATTGAATAGTTACACGTCGTGATCTGGGCACCCTGAACCCTCTTCACACCTAGCCCAACTTCCTCTGACATGGCACGTCGAGATGGGCGGTGGCTCTGCATGCGCAGTACATTGTCCAAACCATCTCAGTCAACTAAGGTTCGCAACCTCATCAATCGACTTTCCTAGTACCTTTAATTTGAACTTAACATTGCTCACAGGGTGGTTCCACCAAACATTAGCAATTATACGACGACACCTGAAACCGCTTCATATCTTCTACTTTTAACGGCCGTTTCACATCCGTACAACAGGACAGAAAGCTGCAGCACCGTTTACGCGTTGTTTTATTTGGTTGATATTCAGATATCTTGACAGCGTCACTAGTGACACAGGTTGACAAATGCATAACGGGCCTTCTGCATCTGAGCTGAGATTACATTAGCAACCAGCTCGGTCGGGCTGACTGCACTCTCCAAACAGGTGGTGAACATATCTCACCACTTCACTTCCAGTCGTTAAACTGGTAGCGATGGAGCATCGTCTTAAATTTGACAGGTACAAAACGCATGTCAACCAAACATACTCAGATTTCTGCGCAGTGCGTTCTAAAGACTATGTATTTTATCAGCGCGTTCAACTAGCAGGAAAATATCACATGCACACCCCAAGTCAACCAGGTGACCTAGGAGTAAATCAATCCCTATGAAGTCAAGCGTACTCATAGTTCTGCCTTTTAGTACTTCTGTGATGAAATTAAATAGGAATAGTGGCAGTGGACATTTGGTGGCAAACTGTCACTTCTTACTGCTTAGTATCGTTCCAGGCTCGATACAGACCTCGACTTCAAAGAGAGTTGAAGGACTTTTGTGTACGTGTCTCAGAGACAGCATGCATCCATGGCCGAAGATTCCAGAATCTAGACGAACAGTACTTGCTGTCTGATTCGGCATACAGTTCGGACGTAGAAAGCTCCTTCATGAAATCAAAGGCGGGGTCTTAAGAGACTAGGAATGAGGTTTCGATGGCATTGATCATTGGCAGTGCTCTCAGAGTGAGAGGTTAGGGAAAATGTAGAAGACTTAATATTAGTATCAGAAAGTGAAGCAAAGGAAGTGTTAGAGCTCAGGAAGATAGGTAATGTTTGATTGCGTCTTGTGCACTAGTGACAGGGTGTGGGTGGTTGACACTTTCTGGCTGCCCACACCGTGGGAAGCTTGTTCTTCTTAAGGTATCTGAAAGAGAAAAATATCTGTGTGACTGAGGAGCTCATGGGACCTCTGCTTAAGGCCTGTCACACGAGCTTTCACAAATAGCTGATTTGACGTTTGGTTGTTCTAGTGCTGGATAGGAAAAACCCATACCACCGTCTCAGAAAGACTGCAGGACAGGGAGGAGTCTGCTATTTTGAGGTCAAACGTTCCTAATCCTACCTTTTCCATAGCGAAGGTTACATCAACACGTTACTGCTGGTCATCAGCGGGAAATATCTTACTACTATTACATCCCGTCCAGCCAGTAGTACGACTTCACCTTCGGACTCCTATCATAGTGTAGCAGTTTACACCATAACGGTCTTACCATTATCGAACAGACCTTTCAGGCATTGTAAGAAACAAGTGTTTCTTCAGTATAGCTCTTTGGTCATTTTGATATGCAAACCCGACCACCACTTCAAGGTAGCAGCTATTGATTGTGAAATCGATGGAGTTGGAAATGAGGAACCCACTTTTTCATAGCTTAGCTAATCAGTCAGTGTCAACTCGGAACCTGGCATTTCTGTGCAGCAGTCTGTGTTGCCATATGTTTCATCAGAATCGAAAATAGTAAGAAATATGAAGAGTCATAGTTAAGCATGGAGAAGGTGGGCATAAACAGTCCAAACGATGCCTCACCATATGCTTTGACACACCGAGTCCTTCTATAAGAAGCACTTAGCAATGTAATTTACTTACTGAGCGACTGTTTCAGTGAAAGACATTGTCATAAGACTTCTCGATTGACAGAGTCGAATACCACCTTTAGGTTAAGAAATAAAGCTAGTGTCGGATGACGAAAGTGCTTTACTACTTGCTATGACCACATCTCACCATTCGGGCTTCAGTAGGAGGCTATATAGTTTTCGGTAAAACTCACTATTCACTTCATCTAGAGTACAGTCAACTAAAATTACAGAGAGACAAGGGCGTTATTCAGTTGGTTATTCAGTTGGATTAATTTTGTTTCCAGCATCTGCCTTCATTCTCTTTTTCTTGTTAAGTATTATTCTAGTCAAGTGAAGGCAACCGAACGCTAAGTTTACAAAATCTGCAAAAAAAGGCGAATCAAGTCCATTTTTTTCCGATGGACCGTGGCGCCAAACGTCCTAGATATAGTCCGGAAATTGAGGAAACTCGTGCTAACAATGAGAATTCCAAAAAGGATGATTCAAAAAATGCAGATAAGCCTACAAACATATTTGGTAGAACTGGTGGTGCATATATTCCTCCTGCTCGGCTTCGCCAAATGCAAGCTCAAATCACCGATAAATCGTCTGAAGCTTATCAGCGAATTGCATGGGAAGCACTGAAAAAGTCTATTCATGGTTTCATCAATAAAGTGAATGTCTCCAACTTATCGGAAGTTGTTAAACAACTCCTTATGGAAAATATTGTCAGAGGTAGAGGTTTATTTGCCAAGTCTCTTTTGACTGCACAGTCTGCATCACCCACCTTCACCCATGTTTTCTCTGCCCTTGTTGCTGTTGTAAACTCAAAGTTCCCCAAGGTAAGTAACTGCAATAACGAACGTACGAATTTATATATATGACATTGTAGAAGCAGAAAATTATCCATTTGTATAACGTGATTAGTTTCTACTGACTCTGTAGTTTAAATGCTTCAATAACATAAGTGGCCATTTATATTTCTAAGCATTGTGGTTGTTTACTGTTCTCCAAGCTTTGAGGTTCGTTCTGGAACGTCTCATCACCAGGTCAGATGGCTTCATCAGCATTTACGTCAACAACAAACATCAAGGCTCTGGGAACACAACAATTATCATCCTCATCCTAGTCTACAGATCTCTACCATTTTTAAGTATTGTGTAGCAGCATACTCTGAGTTTCATAATATATGCCTTATTTTACTCAATGGAGAAGCCATCCTAAATACTAACATTATCCAAGTGACCACAGGATATATGACTTTGGATTTTTTAAAACTGATTGGTTCATTGATGGGAAGGTAACACGACTGCACAACGCATAGCAACAAATAACTGACCACTAGAGTACTGCTCCCATTTTACTGAGATTCCTGGAAGAAGACAAAACTGTGAATACAATATTTGTTACTCAGGAAAAGGTCAAGATTAGTTGAAGAAAAATAACTGATTATGTAATTATCGTACATATCCAATATCTGTCAAGTTTGTTACAGAAAACAATACCTTCTATATAGGTCAGTGATGAACGAATGTGGCAGTTTGTGCATGAGGATGATGTACATCTAGGAATGCATTACGGCAAAAGGATAAGTAACTAACGGGTCTCTTGAATTATATATATATATATATATATATATATATATATATATATATATATATATATATATATATATATATATATATGATTCTTAAATTTTATTTATTCAAAACAAAACGCACTTCACGTATACTAAAGCCTGAATCTTCAACTAATGGTGTTTTTCCTTGCTACCATTTTGCAGTGACGATTTCAGATATGGATTGATACTACCCAGTTAGTGTCGCTGACAAAATGTCTACATGATAATCGTGAGCGGTAGTGTGATCAGCGAAGGCTATACATATGGAAAAGGTGGCGATAATGAATTACGGTGGACAGCCATTTAGACAGGCCAACTAAACTGGAGCTAAAAAGCCAATGCTTAGTAAGACCGTAATGGTGAATGATGCATCTATGATTTACTCGCCCAGGAGACTACTGAAATGATGGTTGAAACACTTTGAGGAATAATTTAATTGACTTCTAGGTGGTTTTTGGCTGCCCAGTATCCAGTCGGATTTTGAATATAACACTGGGACAAGTGATTAAGCACTTGCAGAATTTGAGAAATCTACAAGTAACTTAAAAAGAGGAACGGCTTCAGGGTCAGATGGATCAGTGTCGCTGGTATTAGAGGAGGGTGACCGAGAATAATTGGTTAAAATTACTGATTAGTTAGCTGGCGTATAAGAATCAGATATGATCCCCTCTGACCGATCTTGATTATTGATTGTTCCAGGAGAAAAATCCTTGTGTGATACAAAGTACTGTAGATATGTAACTCAACCGAGGGCATGTTTATGAACTAGGCTACGAATAACACTTCTTTGTGTAGGTTTATTATACTACACTGTACTATACTATACTGGTTGCTCAGGCTGAGTGGCGTTCGTACCCGGGACACATTATCTGGAAGTCGAGTTCATAAGACACTGGGCTACATCTTCATATCCTCCTATTTTAGCCATAGGGAAATCCGTTTGAGGAAGATTGTGACTAAGATCCTAGATTCTGTAATTATTAGACGTGCAAATGAAGCTTAGGAACAGCGAACCCAAAAGGAACCAGGAAGGTTTCATATCTCATCGTGGGAGACTGAACACTGTTATGCACCTTAGTTGATGTTCATGGACTAAAGATGATCGGCAGGAAGCCCCTTGACTTACGTAACATCTCTGACCACAGCACTGGGAAACGTGAGTTCGAATCTATGATGAAACATGAATTTATTCTAAGTTTCTGATACGTCTTGCTAACGAGTGACAAAAAACACTAAACCTCGGTCCATAACTTCTTGCCTATCATCTCCAACCGCCTGCCATCAATTAAAGTGCTACATGATATCAGATCTCATAGCCCAGTGATTAAATTACAAAATAATGGATCGAAGTCGATCAGCACTGAAGACTAATAGACATGAAATTGGTACGCTGCACTGACCAGGGAATTTATAACTTTGGCGATATTACTTTCGGTCTCTAATAAAGGATAGAGTGGTGGTAAGATTAATTTAAAGAGGTTCAAGGTTCCCATTGGACACCTTACGATCGTCTTCAGATAACGAAATTTAGTGGCAAAACGCAAACTACTTACAAAGATTAACGAGTAGTCATTTTCGTATTGTCTAAAATATTGGATTTTTATCGTCAACTCATTTCTTAGTAAAAGTGACTATTAAGGAGTAGCGAGAGACGAAACAAAAGACTAGTTCATCTAGTTGTTTGAGACGACATTCAAAATAAATAGTAATATAGAAAGACTTTAAAATTGCGTATATGTAACCATGTTAGTGACACTGAATTTTAAAAGGTGAGGACATGTACAAGGACAAGGAAAAACTGTGCTGGTTCGTACTTGGATACTCAATAAGACATTGGAGACATAAGGTAAGGTGTAATTTAATGACTTAGGGAACTATCGGCAATACAATGTGGATACCTTTCCTTACCTTTGAAGTTAGTATTCATGAAGTAAGCTTGGAAAACAAGAAAGAACCTCGGTTTCCTGAAATCTTGCCAAATATAAGGAAAGATATCGCTAACCAAAAGTTTAGTATCATAACTACTATAACAAGGCTGTACGACAAACATCGTTATTTATTTGATGCAGCTTGACTAATGCTGAGAATCTGTGGTCAGTTATCCACTGCTGTTTGAATATGGACACGTACTACGTATGCCTAGTCACCGATTGCTTCGTCACACAATGTTGGCCGAAGTAGGTCCAGGCTGGAAGAAGGCCCGAGGTGGCCAGACTAAAACATTACACCAATGTATGAAGTCTCTGACTGTTGGTTTGAGCGGTGTATGGAGGGCGATGCAGACTAGGTGGTTGGGGTCCACGGGACAAGAGGAACCAGTGGTTGGAGACTCTAAGGGGGGGGATATGGCTGGGAACCGATGTGAGTGGGACAGATGTATACACACATTATCCTCATCTTAACTACACTATACCGAATCTCACCATTTTATCGCTCCTCTTTCCTTTCTTCTCGTACTTTATATTTCTTTTGACTGCATTCACTTATCTTCATCCTTCACCTCACTACCCTTCTACTTGATGAACTGACGTGAGGTGTGGCAAGTTGGACCGTTACGCAGTAATGCCTGGTCCTATGTTGATAATGATGCTGTTTGAATATTGACTTTTCAATATTTTGAGGCATACCTGAATGCGATAAATAGCTTGTCATGTTCGCATGCGAATTACTTTCTGGAGACACTATAGATCGAAGTTGAAATAGTGTTTCTCTTCTAGGTTGTCGTCACACCACTCAAATATATACAAGACCTATTCAAGTAGGTTTGATTCTGGTGGAATATGATCTATCTCTATACTCAGCAAAATAAACATTTCTGATGCTGTGATCGTTATGCGTACTATAACGTAGTTTGAAACAGTCGTAGTCGTATTGTAAAGAAAATCTACAAAGACATGCTGATTCTATTGGTACTTACATACGCTTTTCAACTTTGTATATCTTCTTTGGAAGTTTGTATAGGTGGATACGTCTGTCTTCTTCCACACAAAACAATTTGCATCAGATAGAAAAACAGTCCAAATTCAAGATAGTTCTTGCTTTGAATCGTACCACTGTTAACCATATAACTGTTAGTGTTTTCTTTAGGTTTCTATTTAACTTCGTTATAGATGTACTAATGGACATAACTCTGTATACGTCTAACTTCATAGGGATTGATCTACTCCCTGAAGGTCACCTTGTTGACTTGGAATATGCAGACGACAGTTCTGGTAAATGAAGACGCTGACAAAATGCAGGGTCTTCAGAATGCGTTGAGCAGAACTCTGAGTATGTTTGGGATGGGTTTCATGCTTTCGAATGTAAGATGTTGCTCTAGGTCTGGTCTGAAACCACTAGTTGAAAAGATAGGGAGTGAAGTGGTGGAGTGTGTTAACTACTTCACTTGCTTGGGGACTTGGATCAGCCCGAACGGTTTTATTACTAACGATACTGGGATACAGAAGGCCCGTTAAACACTCACCAACTTGTGTCACCTGTGGCGCCTACTGGTGAGATATCCGACCATCTGTCAAAGGACGATTATACTGCACTGCAGTTCGTTGTGTCCGGTTATACAGCTTTGAGACATGGCCGTTTAGATTAGCAGAAATGAAGCGGTTACAGGGATTTGATCATCGTTTTTTTCGTAGCATTGCTCGCGTATGGTGGAATCACCGTGTGAGCAATTTTGAAGTCAGGCGAATAATATATTAAACAATATAAGCAAGTCGAATGATGAATTTGTGAACTTTCATCGAATGAGATGGCTTGGAAATGTACTACAGATGCTGAGTCACCGCCTACCTCCAAGTACTATACTAGAGGAAGCTGGATTCTGTTGGAAGAGGGTTCAGAGTGACCAAGCAAAAACGTGTCACCAGTCAATGAAGTCTCTGACTGTTGGTTTGAGTCCTATGATCTGATGTAGAGTGTCTACCTGGGGTTTCCGAAGCAACAGGAATCAGTGGCTGATAACTGTTGGTGAAATGGCTGAAAATCGGTGACATTGACGCAGATGTGTATACACGCCTTGACATCTCCTAAAGCTTGAATATTCAGACTAACCTTTATCTTTATTTTCTGACACTACTTTATCTTCTATGATGCCACTCATTTTCTATCCACCTGTTCTTTGTATAGTATTGTGAAGTGTGGTAGCTTGAACCGATGTACCTGTGTACGAGATCTACGTTGATTTTGTCTGTCTGTTTTGGGAAGTAACGTCTTGAACTTTCAATCTGTTAATAGTATACCCTATTCTTATATGTGTACTTTTATTGAGTAATACCTTCTGGATTTTTTTCTTCTTCTTGCTATCATCATCATTATCAGGTTGGTGAATTGGTTCTTAAAAGATTAATCAATGAGTTTCGTAAAGCATTTCGACGTAATCAAAAAGATCGTTGTTTATCAACTGCACGTTTCTTAGCTCATCTAGTTAATCAAAAAGTTGTTCATGAATTAATAATCTTGGAATTGCTCACCTTGTTACTTGAACAAACCACTGATGACAGTGTAGAAGTGGCAGTATCTGTACTGAAAGAATGTGGTGCTATGCTTTCACGTCTTGTACCAAAAGGTGTACACGGGATATTTGAACATCTTCGACGTATCTTAAACGAAGGTCAATGTGATAAACGTATTTCTTATATGTTAGAAGTTATGTTCCAGGTAACGTTCATATTTTCTGTTTTCAACTTTTATTGTCATAGATTTAAATGTGTTACTATGTATAATCGGTTAATATTTATTTTGTTTTTTTTTTTTTTTTATAAAGAAGGAAAGTACTTTAAAAGTTGTGCTGAAATGTACCAACTTCAGCTGTTACACAGTACTCTTAAATTCCATGTTAATAGTGATAGACTGAAAAGTTGTGATAGAGAATTTCTCTAGCTCAAGTGGTTGCTCTTGGTTGTGTTGGTTTTTCTGATCTAGATAGTTTCTAAACGTGAAACGAGCCTCTGATACTTCTGGGGACATCATGAAAACCACTCCAAAATTCAGTGTGCTTGTGATTGTCGTCTGGGTGAGAATATTGGAGTAGATTATTGTGTCTCCTGTTGATGGTTGGTAGAGTCCACTTCCATTCCATCTGCTCTCGCGGAATCCTAACACTTCTATTTTATATCTTCTCATCTCTGGCAGTCTGGGCAGCCTTGCCAGCCAGCTTCCAACATTGTGCGGACATTCCACGTCCCTATACTTAGCTTACTTTTGCTTTCATAGAGAGAGAGAAGATACATCTGCCAATTGGCTTCCCAAAGGCTTTCACCAATCGGCATCATTCCGCCTCTCTGATCCCAGTGAGGAATAAGTTTAATTTTATTTTTTACATTTTGTTTGTGCTTTAAAGTTTCTTTAGCGGTTGGATTGGTTTTCCGGGGTAGAGTTGCTAGCCCTATGCCCAACCTTCCCTGTTCATCTGGGTTTAGGACCGGCTAGTAACCACTTAACTAAGCGAGGTTAATGAAAGTGTGTACCAACCACTAAACTAGAATCCAGTTAAACAATCGAACAACCAGATCCAGAGGAAGCAGAAGTTGAGTAAAAGCCAGCCAAATCACAAAAAAATAACAATGGGAGATGAAGACAAACGGACCAGTCCTACAGAGGTTCTATAGTCTGTCTAAGATACATCAGATATATATTCCACTTATTGGAACCCCTTTATTTAATCTATTGAAAGAATTATACAGAAAACTGGAGTATTTTGTGAATGGTATTGAACAATCAGTTAGCTCAGCAGGTGAATGGCTAGACAAAATAAAAGATCTAAAGATAGTGAGTGATGAGACGTCCACGGCGAAATATCAAAGCATCTTCCTTATCCTGAGCAAAAAATCTTTTTTCGTATCATTTCATTGAACTCTGTTTGTAATTCAAGCTTAACCATTTGAAATCAGTAGTGTAGGCATTAAGGTAAATGTGTTTTCTTCAATGAGAAGCGTCGTATCCTATTGACTTAGGCATTTGTACTTCTGTTTATGAGTCTTGTATGCGAAGACCTTTATGTTAACTTCAAATTGAACAACCATACATTAAATGTCGCTGCTAGCCTTTTGTATGTGTAAGCCTATACTGGGCTACCGGGTTGTATCAATAAATAATTAAATGTCCAATGAATATCATTAAATATTTCACTAACTCTTATTATTGTTATATGCTGGTCAACATCAAAAATGTCATGATTGCAATTTTTATTAATAGTCCCTAAGTTCAATCTACTGGGTGTACTGAATGATGAAACAATTGAAACTCATACTGAATGTCATGTATGCTTCTTTATTTAGCATAACTCACATTGGTATGGTATTATTTACTAGACAGCCTTTTAAAATCCATAAAAAGACTAGATGGATAAAGAAATGGACTGTTGAATCATCCTCTAACATTGAATCAACACTTTGGAATGATTCATCGCCCATGACAGACATTTGGAGAATTCTAGCACCAACAACAGTAAAAAGCCAATGAAAAATAAGTGAGGTTTACTGGTTATATAACTACTTAGGTATGGTTATGAGCAATGAATTCGACTTGAAGACGTCATCCAGTGAATAATGCTTTATCACTGTTTCGTGATGATACTTCTACTTTTCCGTTGCTATACGGATTCGAATTGTTCGACCGCTATTGGTAGATGGGCTCCTATGCGGATGCCTCAATACTGCCAGATATTCGTGATGTCTTATTGGTCTTGGTGACTAGCAGAAGAATCCAGGATGCACGTTTCGTCCTATTTGCGACTCGTCGGCTGGGCGCACCTGCACCCCAGTGCGGAGTGGTTGTTTCCACTGAGGCTCGAACTTTGTACCCCTCGCTTCAAACGCCAGAACGTTATCGGCTAAGCCACTGGGATATGATAGCTGTCTCAAGCAGTTCGGCTCTGTATAACAATGTGGATAACTCCTTGGCGTGTGAAGCGAAGGGTGCTGGGTTTGAGTCTCAGTAGGAACAATACTCCGCACTGGGGTGCAGGTGCATCCAGCCGACGAGTCACAATTAGGACGAAACGCGCGTCGTGAGTTCCACCGCTAGCCGTAATGTAGTCAATCATAACAGTAAATATTTAGGCAATATCAGTGCATCCTCATAGGAGCCCCTATACCAATAGTGGTCGGTGAATTCGCTCCAGTATAACAATGTAGAATTACAAGAATTAACAAATAATAATAAAGCAAGGAAGATTAGATTTGCGAAGTAGCGTAATAATAATAGTAGTAACAGTCATCAGTTGTACATCTAAATCATCTCTACTTGATTTGTAGCTCATTGGTTTAAAGGAGTTGACTTCCAAACAGTGGGTCGCCCGTTCGAACACATTCTCGCTTAGTTAGGTTTGGGCAGCCAGGTAGTAGCATTAGCGCTCACACAACAGATGTGACTCACTGGAATCAATCATTATCAACATAGGACCAGGCATTACTGCGTAACGGTCCAACTTGCCACACCTCACGTCAGTTCATCAAGTAGAAGGGTAGTGAGGTGAAGGATGAAGATAAGTGAATGCAGTCAAAAGAAATATAAAGTACGAGAAGAAAGGAAAGAAGAGTGACAAAATGGTGAGATTCGGTATAGCGTTGTTAGAATGAGGATAATGTGTGTATACATCTGCGCTACTGACTTCGGTTCTGAGCCATATCACCTAGGGTCTCCAACCACTGGTTCCTCTTGTCCCGTGGACCCCAACCACCTAGTCTGCATCGCCCTACACCGCTCAAACCAACAGTCAGAGACTTCATACATTGGTGTAATGTTTTAGTCTGGCCACCTCGGGCCTTCTTCCAGCCTGGACCTACTTCGGCCAACATTGTGTGACGAGGCAATCGGTGACTAGGCATACATAGTACGTGTCCCAACCATCTCAATCTATGAAGGTTCATAACCTCGTCAACTGATTTGCCTCTTCTCCCTAAAACTCTACACCTGACTTCTGCATTACTCACATGGTGACACCACGGAATAGGGCCTATACTACGAAGGCAACGGTGGTCAAACACTTGAAGCCTTCTCATATCTCCCACTTTCAATGGCCATGTTTCGCAGCCATACAGTGGAGTAGACTGCACTGCTGTGCAGTGCACGCGACCCTTAATAGACAAATTGTCAAAAGCCAATCGGGCCCTTTGTATCCGTGCAGAGATTTCATCAGTAACTAACCCGCCAGGGTTGATCCTACTTCCCAGGTAAGTGAAGTGGTCAACACACTCAACCACTTCACTCTCTATTGTTAGCCGCGGTACCGCTGAAGACCAGTCCTGGAGCAAAAATTTGCATTTGGGTGGTGAAAATCGCATCCCAAACATTCTCAAATTCCCACTCAAAGTGTTCAGAAGACTCTGCATCTTGTCAGCGTCTTCACCTAACAGGACTATGTCATCTGCATATTCTAGATCTAAAGAAAATTCACCTGTGATTGGGTCAACGTCTGTGTAATTAGGTGACGAGAGGGAAACCTCCATAAGAATATCTATGATAAAATTAAATAAGAATGGGGATAGTGGGCATCCTTGACGGACACCACTTGATGAGTATAGCTCCCTGGACAACTCACCATAGGCTCTAACATGCCCACAAGTGTTCGAGTAGAGAGCTTTCAATAAGGTGATGTACTTACTAGGCACGCCTTTCAGTGACAGACACTGCCATAAGACTTCTCGATCAACGGAGTCAAATGCCGCCTTCAGGTCGAGAAATACAGCTATTGTCGGGCGTCTGTAAGCATGCCTATGTTCCAGGACCTGGCGCAGTGTGAATATTTGGTCGATACATCCACGGCCAGGTCTAAAGCCTGCCTGGTTTTGGCGGGCTTGGTGTTCCCGAGCTCCACTCAGGCGTCGGAGAATTATAGAACTTAGGATCTTAGACACTATGTTCGTCAGGCTGATTCCTCTGTGGTTATCACAAGAGGACTTCTCGCCTTTCTTGAAGACTGGGATGATGAGTGACTTAGACCAGTCGGAGGGGATCGTATTTGATTCCCATATACTGGCTAACACTTCCGTTAGCCTGACTAAGAGAACTCTACCACCATTCTTGTATACCTCAGCAGGTAGTCCGTCTGGTCCTGCTGCCCTTCCCCGTTTCAGGCTACCTACCGCTTTCTCAACTTCTTCTAGTGTTTGGGGGCCTGTCTCTATGTCCCATTCAGGGTCCGACTGGATAGCGGGCAGCGCAATGGTGGCTGGAGGCCAGTTAAACTGTTCCTCGAAGTGTTCTGCCCATCGTCCCAGTCGCCTTCCCTGCGAGTGAATCTCCGATCCGTCCTTCTCCGCTATAACCTCACTAACTGTTGTTGACCATTTCCCCCCAGTCTCCTTAATAAGTCTAAATAACTGTCTACTGTTACCGATCGCCGCTGCCTTTTCCATCTCTTTAGCCTTTGCTGCCCACCACTGTTCACGATCGTTGCGCAGACTTTTCGTCAGTTTATTTTTAAGTTGCGCTCGCTCTTCATTGTACTCAGAGCCTGCAGGGATGCATTCACGTGCATCCATTAGTTTGGAAGAAGCTGCTGATATCCACTGGCTCTTTTTAGCCATTATCTTGGAGTCGGCTACAGTCTCCAGTGCTGCTTTTACAGTAGACTGAAGATGGCACCAAGCTTCTTCTGGATGAGTGACAGTCTTTTGTTCCGATAACTGCCTAGCCAACTTCTCACTGAACACGGCTTTGGTGTTTTCGTTGTCCAGCAGAACTCGTAGTGGTTTTGTTGCCAAATTTTTTCTACGTCCATTGAGACGCAGGCATATACGTGCTCGGACCAACGCATGATCGCTGTCCAAACACGTACTCCAGAAGGAGCGGCAGTCTTCCACCGATCCTCTCCAGCGATGACTAATAGCAATGTGGTCTATCTGTGTCCATCGCTGAGTCGAGCTCGGTGGACGCCAGGTCAGACAGTGCCTTTCTTTATGTCTGAAATTTGTGCTGGCTAAAAATAGGCGGTTATCTGAGCATAGTTGTAATAGGCGATCACCGTTATCTGTACGTTCAGCTGGGATTCCGAAAGTGCCACCTAAGTGCCTTTCTGCCTCACTCAGTCTACCCACCTGTGCGTTGAGGTCACCTGCAACAACCACTACGTCCGAACGTTTGGCTTTCGAGAGGAGGTTAGACAGTTTATGGTAGAACTCGTCCTTCACTTCATCCGAACTACAGTCAGTGGGTGCGTAAGCAGAGATTACAAAGAGACAACGGCGAGTCTCACTATTCCTTTTAGTTCTCACTGTGCCGTTCAGCCTCATAGCGCAGAGGCGACTATCAACTGGGATCCAGTCTAGTAGTGAGTTTTCTGCCCTGGTGCTTAATGCTATACCTACACCTGCAAGACCACGAGAGCTAGCTATCGAATCTCCAGAAACTCGAAGGGTGAATTTTGCAGATTCACCAGATTGGTCAGGAGAGGTCAGGTGAATAACCACACTTGGGTCCTGTATGCGTGTCTCACAAACACAGCACACATCCATGGCCCGAGTTGCTAGAGTCTTTGCCAACGAAGCCTGTTGGCCAATTTGACGGAGGGTGCGGACATTGAAGGCTCCAATATGTAATTTGGAGCGTGGTTTAAGGAGACCAGGGACGCTGTTCTGTGGACTCAGATCGTTGTCGAAGGCTGCAGAGGTAGGAGAAATTGAAGATGATGCAGCATCATTAATTAAGAGACGTGAAGGAAGATTAGAAGGTAATGATGGAGGAGGAGGATAGCAGTCAGAAGAAACTTGGGTGCTGACAGAGTTGTGAGGGCGGTTGACACTTCCCGGCTGCCCACACCGTGGAAGGCTATTTCTTCTTAAGGTACCTGAAAGAGATTTGTGTGACCGCAGAGCCCATCGGACATCTGCTTGAGGCCTGTCACACCCAGCCTTTTGAGTATGATTATTTTGAATTTTTGTATTTTTGGGGCCGGATGAGCGAAAGGAAACGACAAGTGAACCAACACCGCCGGCCCGGCAGACCGTGGGGCGTGGTGGAGTGTGTTATTTTTGGGGCCGACCTTTTCTAACCCCCCTTCCACTGAGAAGGCAGCATCAGCATGGCACTGCTGGTCATCCAAGGGAAACACCTTACTGCTGTCACACCCCATCCAGCTAGCAGCAGTACGACTTCGCCCTCAGACCCCCATCATAGTGTAGCAATTTACACTATGACGGTAACTGCTTTTCGTCTAACCACTACCCAACAGACCTTTCTGGTATGGTAGGACCTCGAGGGAACAAGCGTTCCACCAGCATAGCTCGTTGGGTCATTGTGATATGCAAGCCCGACCACCACGTCAAGGTAGCAGCTATCGGTCGGGATGTGACTCACTGGCTACTGCACAAATGTGTACAGGGTTGGGCTGAGTGGATTTCGACTTTTTTTGAAATCATTGCCACTATAAGGGCGTGTTAATCCATTAATGAAGTTGGATGTGGTATGAACAGGATATGATTCTAGTTTGTTGGACTGGTTCAGTTCTGCCTTCTGATAAAAGTTTGTCTGTAGAGAAAACTTCTTTTAATGATGCTTCTTTAATATTTGTATCTATTTTCTTAGATATTACATCTCCCTTTAGTCGAAGGTAAATGAAAACCTTTTCAGTAGTTGAGAGTGCCCAGTTATTCCATCTGTGCTTTTATACTCTCTGTGAGAGACTTTCAATAATGTTCAACTCTTTGTAGAACACAAGTTTTTAAGTCTACTGTAAAGTATTCTAACCAGTCCACGCTTGTTTATAACTGATAGGACAAAAAGTGTTGCAGTTAAGAGACTGACTAGTTCATGCATCTTTCTTTTTATGGATGGTCTTCTCAATCGTACTATCGTTCACAACTTTTCTTATGTAGCTGTTAAACTCTCTAGCTTAGTGTATCAGGACACTTGTATTTCAATTACAACACCAATATATGCCTATAACCTCGTACACTGATTACTCTTAACAGCATAAATCCCCACTCCCTAGTAATTATGTTCAATTCATATAGAATGTTTAAAAGAAGTGATTTGTTTTCTTACCAGTTATTTTTTCTTAAATTATCTTTCATTTTTTTTGCTTTTTTTCTTACAGATCCGTCGAGATGGATGGAAAGATCATCCTATTGTCTTACCTGAACTTGATCTAATTCAAGAAAGTGATCAAATCACTCATACAACTTCACTTCTTGATCAAGTTGATCCAGAGGAGTATTTGAATGTGTTCAAATTTGATCCAGAATTCTTAGCCAATGAAACAAAATATGCTGAAATTAAGGCGGCTCTATTCGAATCGAATGAAAACTCTGAAGGTGAATCAGATGATGATGATGAAAATGATGATTCAGGAGGATCAGATGATGATGATGATGATGGAGATGAAGAACATCAGCATGGAGTTGCTGCAACAGCAGAGAATCAACAAACAATAATTGATCAAACTGAAACAAACCTAGTTCATCTACGTCGTACTATCTATCTTATGTTACAAAGCAGTCTAAGTGCAGATGAAGCTGGGCATCGTTTATTACAATTAAAAATTAAACCGGGAGAGGAATATGAAGTGGCATCTATGGTGTTGGATTGTTGTGCTCAAACTCGTAGTTATGAAAGCAGATATGGTCGATTAGCTCAGAGGCTTTGTCGAGTTGTTTTTGCATCGAGTGCACCGTCTAATACTGGGAGTACTAGCGTTTCTGTCAGCTCTGATTTAGGTCCTGGCAGTAGATATAGAAGTGGTAAAGAAGTTACTAAACCTACTACTAAAGAAGAAGTTTCAACACCTGTTGTAGAAGAATCAGGTCCACCTCGTAGTTATGTTGCTCAATTTGAAAAAATTTTCGCTGAACAATATGCAATTATTCATAGATTAGAGACTGCAAAATTACGTAATGTTGCATTCTTATTTGCTCATCTATTATACTCAGATTCTATATCATGGGGTGTATTTGAATGTGTTCGCTTAAATGAACGTGATACTACTTCCTCTGGACGGATATTTTTAAAGCATCTTTTCCTTGAACTCTGCTCTTTCATGGGTTTATCAAAATTGCAGGCAAGACTTCGAGATGAAACATTACAATCATTTTTTACTGGTCTCTTACCTCGTGATAATCCTAAAGATACACGATTTGCAATCAATTTCTTAACAACAATTGGTTTAGGTGGGTTAACATTAGATCTTCGTGAACATTTACAAGCATCACGTGATACAGCATTAGCAAAAAAAGACTCTGAATTGAATAATAAATTATCATCATCTGTATTGGGAGATTTATCCATTTCTTCATCGTCTTCTTCTGATTCATCCTCTGATAATGAATTGAAATCGAGTGATTCAGATGAGCATGAGAAACACCGTAAGAAGAAGGAGAAGAGGAAGAAGAAGGAGAGTGGTCATTCTAAAAGTAGTCAGCATAAATCATCTAAAACGTTTCATCATAATCATCAAGATAATAAATCACACAAACATGCTTCATTAAAACATTCTAAAGTGTTATCGGATAAGACTGTTAAAGTTTCTGATTCCAGGCATTATTCACAGAAAGATGATAAAAAGTCACGTTTAAAACGCGTCCTGTTGATACTCCATTCTTTAATGAAACACCTAATTCACCTGCTTCTTCACATCATATAAAAATGAAAGTTAAGTAGCTATATCCTTGTTATTTATGCCTTGCAGAAAAAGTAAACTTGTACAAAATCTGTGTGAATAATATGTGTATGTCTTATGATTTTCATCTGTTGGTTTACTATTCTCTCAGTAGAGAGGTTTCTTGTGAATGCAGTTGTGTTCCATCAGTGTAGACAGTCTTCAGTCGATTTTAGTTTGTTTGTTAGAAATATCACACAGTGAAGGAATAGTATCATTTACTGGATAACGTTTCGGATACAATTTATTGACCATATCATGCAACTAACTCCACAACTTTCAAACAGAGTTTATATATTCCTAATTTTCTCTCCTTCTCTATGATAACAAGGGTAATAGAATTTATCTTATAGCTGGGATAGATACAGAATCATTTCCAATACAGCATGTAATTGGTGTTGATTCGATAAACAAAGATCCGGTTATCAATCTCCCTCCACTCAACTGAGTTAGTTTTCATACTGTCGTTTTATCTCATCTTATTGTATGTAATTCCGTGCAGAGTTATACCCGAGCTTTTCCCTAAATTTCCTTAACTTATTAGGATCTACTAATGTGATTTAGCTAAGCTTTTGTGCTCTGTTGTTCTAATCGACCCTGGTCGACTGATTTGACCTATGTACCTCACGTCGCAATCATTGCAAAGGATCTGGTAAACCAGATTATTTTGCTTAATTGCATCGATAGGATCTTTTTACGTACAAAGCTTGTTTCTAAGCTAGTTTTTTGGTTTAAATGCCACTTTAATCCCAGCCAGCCTTATTGAGAATTCTTCGTAATGCTTTTAGGTTGCCTTCCTTGTATGGTAACACAGCAGAGGATTTGAATTCTCTCTGAACCCTGTCTTTATTATTACCATTAGTAGTAGAATTATTATTAATAACACCTGTATTAGCTGTACAAAGAAGACGTAGTCCTACGACTAGGTGAAAACACTGACAAAACGGATATCATAGTTAACTCTGGTCGACCAATTCAGCCAACATAATTCATCTGATAATCGTTCTAAGGGATTTGGCAAGCTGAATTTTTCTACATTATGGAATTATTAGCATTCTCTAACCTACAATGCCTATTTCGAAGTAAATTTGTAAGCTGAAGTACCACTCAAATCATAGCCTTATCGACAATCCCACATGACGTCTATCACGTGCCTTCCCTGTAGCGTAATATTGTGGAAGTTCCAAATTCTCTGTTCACAGTATTCCCACTATTACCATTATTACTATTACACCTGTGTCACCACAACAAGTCATATATTCCTTATCATTCCATGACTGACCAGTTTATTCACTAATTTACACAGGTGACCTCATATATTTGCATCTGATTTCTTATCACAGATTTGTTATTATTATTATTATTATTATTATTTGTCCTTTGGGTTCCTAATGGAACATAGGGCTTCAGGAGCACATCGCCATTTTACTCTCTTCTCTGCACTGTTTTTAATCCTGCCACACAACCTTTCATTTCTTCCTCACACCATCTCCTCCATGTCACCCTCGGACACCCAACTCGTCGTTTCCCATTTCGGTTCCACTTGAGGACCTGACCAGGCGCGTGATGTCCCCAACTAGTCTTCGCACTGTATGCCCAATCAAATCCATCTCCATTTTCCACATATTTGTCGGGTGATAGATTCTTAGTTTGGTTCGTTGCCAGCCAGAGTTCTTTGTTGCTTATTCCTACTATTCTGGCCATCTCATCCTCAGTGTCAGTTTCGAGTGAGTGTAGGCAGCAGCTGTTGATGAGATATGCGTCTGCAGTTTGTTGGAAATGCTTGTCATAACTCATCAAGTTTCTCAACCATCACATAGAAGCACTGACTTACTTGATTGACATTAGTGTTAAAAATCCAAGTCTTGTTCGCGCTTTATGCTGAGTGGAGTGCAGTGCAGTGCAGTGGATCTCCATACTGATTTCAGACTAATGCAGGAAGATCTGTCTTTCCTATCCTGGTTTTGATGTCCTCATTTGTGCCGCCTGTAGTTGGAACGATGCTGCCTATTTGGATATGTTCTATATTTACTTTGTGCTTTGAAGTTTCTTAAGCGATTGGATTCGGTTGCTAGACCTATGCCCAACCTTCTCTCTTGATCCAGTCTTAAAACCGGCTAGTAAACTAGGTGAGGCTTCTTGTCACAGTTCTGTCTTATTCGTAAGTCCCTTGACCCTGTTACTTACACAGAAATTTTACTGAGCCAACTTCAACTGACATCGTGTGAGATGATTTGAAGTGTAAGTAACGATTTGAGTGTGAAAGTTTTCTATCGACACTTGTGTCCAAACTCTCTTCTTGTTTCCCTTGTATTCTGCAATCCAACATCACTAATTCCTGTTCACCACTTTCTGATTGATAGGTGAATTGGATTACGCTGATTACGGAATTTATATGTGTAAACAAACTGTGTATGTGCACTGATTTCAACACTGTGAACGTGTCATCTACACATCGTGACTATATATCTGGAGCAGAACTGAATGTTTCGACAGTCATCCTGTCCGCAACTATCCAAAAGTATGTATGTCAGGAAAGTGGATATTGGTGATCCCATGTCAACTCCTCTTGTTCGTCTGTATATTTTATTGTGAAACTTAAAGATTGTTGAAGTAAGGCATAGGTGTACTCCTAATGTGATCTCCTCTACTGGTTGGTACCTTAGTTCATGGCGTAAGCCAATGGCCATTATTGAGTTTATTTCTAACTGCTTCCAGAGTCATATTTTATTCGGTATATTAGCGTAGAAACTAGTTGCAATGTGCTGACCCAAATAGGACAAAATTCTAACAAAGTGCCTAAGTTTACCTCTTTTATTATGGCAAATTTGATGTCAATCTTTCCTTCTCGACTTATCATTTTCATACTAGTGTGAATTGTTGCAACTTAAAACGACGCATTTTTGTACGAGATTCTACATTGGTTCTGTCTGTGTGTCTGCTTTCCAAGCTAAAACGATGAGTAATGCAAGCTGGTTTGGCGTGACCACCTCTGATTCCGATCTCCAAGTTAGCACTTCGAGTTCTGTTATCAGTAATCTACCCCGTACATGGAAAACTTCTTGTGTAAAACTGTTAGTTTTTGCCGCTTCATATCTTTTCACGTTTGAAATAGGCTCTGAAGTTCAGTGAGAGCTAAAGAATCAATATCTACGTCCAATTTGGTTTGGAACTGAAAGTTGGGTAAGTGAAACTAGACTGTAAGTCTGTTGAAATATCCTTCGAAGTATTTTGTCAAATTTCTTAGTCACCTGTCCTTATGACCTATGAAGGAGCGATTCGTCCTTATCTTTTTATAATCTCATTGACCGTCATCCTTTTCGTATGAGACTCTTTAAAATTCGGAATAACTGTCGAGTATTGTCTAGGGTCAATATTGTCTTCATCTCTCACTTTCAACCCATGAAGTCATTACAAATACTTGGTTGATTTACGCTGAAGTTGTCTTTGCTTCTCATCGTAACCACAATCAGTTGGAATTAATCCTGAAGCATCAATCATTCACTAATATTTTCAATTTCCAGAGTTCTTACAAAGGCCAAATCATGACATGAAATTAACAGTGATGAAAGTGTCAGGAGTATGGATATCAATTTATAGGACTCATTGACTACTTAGTAGACGTTTAAAGACAATGTGAAACTCCTGCTTGTAAGATTGCTGATATTAATTTCAGCTGCTTTTCATCGAGTAGTGACACAGAGCTAGTCTCAGACAACCCCATTTGACCAGCTATGGATATACATCCCCGAAATGTACTGTGAATAAACTCCTCTTGTAGAGCAGATAGTTTCGACTATTCTTGTATATCACGATTCAACCTTCGTGGTAAATGATGAAAGTAAGTCCTCCAATAATCTTTGGGTATGCTAGCAGATCAGTCGAGTACTTATGCCCCCAATATAGTGATAAGCTCATTGAACTTGGAAAACGAGATTTGACACTGAGAATGTTTCCAACGACTATCTTTGTCACCACTTAAAGTTAGGTATACCCATCCATAAGGTGTCACTAAACATACCCTTTATTTGCCAATCTACAAATTAGTGTACTTCAGTAGACTCTAGCTGCAACAACGTGTCAAAACTTAGTCTTCATTACAACAATCGAATTGGAAGGATGAATATCACAAGGAGTACAACGTTAGAAGCGAATAAAAAAAAATCAGACATGTTTCCAGTTCAATGCAAATTCCGACAGTCTGACAGCTCGGTCATGAAATAGCAGCGTACAAAACCATATTAAACTAAGACCAAAAACGCAAATACACTGAAAAACAACAATGTCAGCGTCAAAGTCGACCTCATCACCAGTCAGAAGTCACCTAACTACTCAATGCAAACATCTCTAGACTGACGAATTCACACGCAATCTCATGAATCACAAGCAACCTGTGAGAGATAACTCATCAGAAGACGAAGACGGATGTAAGCAAGAAGTACAGTTTATTTTCCAATCAGCGTCCAAATAGAGAACCAACAACATTTTTAAAAAAACCTAAAATATCGAAGGCACGTTTCTTGTCATCACGTTGTACTTGACTGGCGAGTGCATCCCTCAGCTCTGAAACAGAAGATACAAGTTGTTCAGTTGTACATGGAAAGAGAAGAGGAGGAGTATGGCGTAAAGGAAGCGGCAAGCGACATTGGGAGGTATGTGGCAACGTGGAGACAGGATCAGCCATCAGTCCATATTCACTTCCCTGCATTGAAGGAATGGAGAGACTCTGTTCCATCACAATCCATCCACATACCTCCCATCATGACATTCAGTTATGCACAGATAGATGAGTGAGTGTGAAAAATCGTGAGTCACAATGTGGTGATCAGTTGGGGATGGATTTGCAGGAAACGCAGTGTCAACACTGAATGGACGATGATGGCATGATGTGATCGAGGTGACCGAGATCCGTGATGTCGGTGTGGATGTGATAGGACGGTCGGATCCATGTCTCATCAGTGCTGTGCAGACAGCAGATCACGCAC